AGCTGGGAGGCTGAAAATGTATGTTCTGTCATGGAGATGCTGAAAACCCCCCACAAAGATAACCCTGTAAGCTGTTTTGAACTTTACTTTAATAAAAGTGGTCCACGAGCCTTGAAATTGTACTTTGCTTGCTGGTCCAAAGCTGATGAAAAGCACCACATTTGAGTGAAAACTTTAGATATGGAGAATTTCCTCCTCCTCATCACCATTAATGGCTTGGGAGGTTTGTACTTGTAATCGTAATGGAAGTGGCCTTAAGATTTCCCAGCCGTGTCCTCTGGCCTTCCTAACCACTGGCACTTCACATTTTAAAGACTGAAGCTCTGACCCAGATGGTTCCACACATACTCGTGGTATGTCCAAGGAAGCCATATGTGAAGCACTTTGTGTCCTGACTGTGTCCTGGCTGTGTCCTCGTGTAGCAACCCACTTGGTGTTTGGGAAGTCTTTATTTGCTCATATGAGGTTGTTGGTAGTTTTTCAGCCTCAGTCACCACCAATCCAAGCAGATCTGGCTTTATCGTTTGGTATTCCTTTAAGTAATTTGGTGTTTCCTTGACTGAATTAATGTTTTTTTCTCAACCTTGAAAAGCTTTGACATAACGACGGATCTTTTTCTGACTAAGGTCCTTTCTTACCACCACCCTGTAATACCAGAAGATTAAGTTAGAAGTGTTTTTTTTAGGAAATATTTTCTACAATAATGCTTTTCATCTTTTCAACTACCTACCCTCTTTATCCAAAGGTAGAGGTTTTAAAGTACACTTTTCTAAATCCTTGTCTAAGTTCTAAATGTGTAATATCTGTGAGAACGGTTCTAAAACCAGCATGTTCTGTATACCATTGTGTTGAATAAGGAACCATCTATTGGGTGTTCACTGCAATAGCACCTGTTTTTTTATTATTTCTTTCAACAAGAATAGGGAGTGTCTTGTTAAAAAAGGAGAATAGAATTCCATGGTGGATAACATATGTAAGTGTTCTCGATCTCTTTCTGTTCGTGAGACGGCCCTCAAGGTTTTAACTAGATGGTATTATACCCCATCAAGACTACATGTACTGTTCCCACAAACGTCCCCTTTATGTTTCCAGGGCTGTGGCCTCACAGGTACTTTGGTTCATATATTTTGGGATTGCCCGACCTTATCTATTATTTGGTGCAAGATATCTGAGGGTGGCTACCTCACTGGTGGGTACCCCGATACGATTATCTTTACAGACCTGTCTATTGGGGGCTCATATCCCGGGGGTCTCTGATGCCATTATGAGATTGATACATACTATATGTATTGCCACTTTATGGTCTATTGCCTTACATTGGAGGTCCAATTCTGTACCCTTGGCCTCCGTTTTACACAGAATTGATGCTGTAATGCTCATGGAACGTATTCATTATACCCTACTGGATAAGATGCACTTATTTGATAAAAAATGGGAGTCATGGAGGGATTATAGACATTTATTGCATAATTAATAACATTCCCAATGAAAGTTGACTGGCATATACTGTTGACAGATGTATCATTCAATCTACCTTATCATCTACATATTTCATGTACTTGCTAACTACTCTTTTCTATTTCTTCTCTTTCTTTCATTAATATACTTTTCTGTATTGTACTTTTCAAAAGTGCCTTGTTTTTGCTGTATGTATCATTTGAAAATGTACTGTTTTTTACAGTCTACTTTTGTACAATAAAACCGTTTTGTTCATAAGGATTTTCCATAAACCACTGTAGAGTGATTTTAGCTTCCTGAAGAACCTGTGAAGGTCTCCTCCATTCTCCTTTTGATACACATACAGTATGCTTGTAAGTTTTTTTTATCATTTGATGAAGTTATGCAATATCTAGATTGAATTTCAATGTATTTATTGTGATTTGTAGGTAGCTGTTTACAAGAAATGTGTTCAGTGTATACATTTGTAAAAGACATGTCTACAAGCATATTGTAACTTCACTTTGTGATTGTATTGCAGTTTTACAGAATTATTCACAGATGTAAAATTCAGGAATGAAACACAACGCTGCTTCTGTCAGTTTTGTTAGCTAGTTGTCGGTTAACCATTAGTAGGACAGCATACAGTGGCATGTAGCTACCGATACCAGATATAGTGAATGCAGGGTCCTGGGTTTAGTAACACTTTAGGAGAAAATTTTTCAGTAAAAAATACACTGTCAGGAATGTTTAACGTTCCTGATCTATCACAGCTGCTGATCTCATTCATCCAGGTTTTGGCTGTGATACATTCTCTTTGTCTGTCCACCTGCAAGGTGATTGATGTGGCCAGTCTCTGGGTTGAGACCAAACCTGATTTAAGCCAGCCAAGCCTGCAGTCTCATGCTTGTGACATTGCGTTTAACATGGTCTCCAAGCTCTATTAGACCCCTGATGTCCCCGCTGCATTCCACACAGACCACAATCCATTTGCTTCTTCCCTGACCACAGTGGCCAGAAAAAGTGATAGTAGAAAACGGAAGTGACAAAATCCTCTTTGCGTCTCGGTTTTTACTATCTCGGAGAGATCAGCAAATGGACATTCGCTGGTCTCCCTCCCGTCTACCCGGTGACTTGTGGGTCTTGGGCCTGTGGGTGGGAAAGCTGCCGGATCTCTTCTACCTAAATATTTTACACACACTCCTGGCTTCTGTAGCAGCCAGGAAAGAATAGGGCCTGGAGCTAGATGGGCAGCATAAGCATAAAGCCAGACATGACTGGGTTTGCAGGGAAGGCTGGAGTAACATGGGGTTAAAAAATGAGTCAGGTTTGTTTAAAAGTTTTTTCCCATCTGACTGGAGGAACATGGGGTGGGACGGAGCGAGGCAGGGTGGGCCCTGGAAGAGGAAAAGGGGTGGAGAATTTTCCTCCGAGTCAGTCGGAGCTGGTACAGAAGAGAACAAGCTTCTCCCTCCCTCCTGCCCATGATACTTAATTTGGCCTTGTATTGTGTTAGCCTTTTTTATTAATTGCCTTGATGTTCTTCATTTTCGTTTTGGGTTGTGTCGTAGCAGTTGGCAGGGGGTCTCAGGGTCTTTTAAGGCAGTGACTGGTAAAATTGTTGGAGAATGAGCAGGTTGGGCCCATCTCAGGTATGGGTGTACCTTCCCTAGTTAAGTTAAGGAGTAATATATTAAGAGTCATTCGGCTAAATTGAGGTTATCTGGATATTAAATTGTCCTTGAGCCGGTGTATTTGCGGCTGGGGGCCTTCAAGTCTATATGGTGGCAGATATAGCCGGTCGGTTGAATACAAGTTGCCTTAAAAGACCTTTAGATTTTAACCACCTCCCATCCAGCCATTGTATATAAACGATCGGACGGTGGCAAGGCAGGGTCGGGTGGTCGTTTCTAAACGGCCTCCCCGCCCCCTGCTTGTGCGCGCTCCATGGGAGCGCACAGCACCGTGATCTGGTGTCCGCTGTGTCCTCCGGACATAGTGGAGCACTGATCGTATTATGGGACCTCTTTGCGAGGTCCCGATCATGTGATCACTGATTGGCCAATCAGTGATCACATGCAGAGTAGTAAGCAAGATGTCACTTCTGACATCATTGCTTACTACGTGTGAAATCTGTGAATGATCACAGAGGTCACATGGTACAGGGCTATTCACAACAGCCTTGTACCATGTGACAAGCTGTGACCAATCACAGCTCACACAGTAATTCTCAATGGCTGCAAGAATGCAGCCAGAGGGAAGGAGAAATGATTGCTTTAACAGCCTTTATGGGTGTAAAAGCAATTAGTGTAAAAAAAAAAAATAAAATCTTCATCACCCCCCCAAGTAGTACAGTGTCACCAAGGTGACACTGTACTGCCAGGGTGACAGTATGTAAAAAAAAAACCCCATAAATAATAATAAAAAAAAATAAAATAAAAATGTGAAAAAAATGTTTAAAAATTATAATTTTTGGTTATAAACTAATTTGGGTTTTTTTTTGTTTTTTTTTTTACTAAAAAGATAACGGAATAAATTTTGGCCAATATTTATGATGAAATATTTATTGGCAAAATTTTATAAGAAAAACACTTTTTTTTTTACATTTTTGGACTTTTTCATTTACATAGCAAAAAAAATAAAAATCCCAGTGGTGAATAAATACCACCAAAATAAAGCTTTATCTGTCTCAAAAAAAAAATTTGGAAAAAATAAAAATAAAGCTTTATCTGTCTCAAAAAATGCATATGGGTACAGTGTTGCATGACAGCGCAATTGTCATTCAAAGTGTGATAGCACTGAAAGCTGAAAATTGGCCTAGACAGAAAGGGGGTGAAAGTGTCCGGACTTGAAGTGGTTAAGGAGGTTAGTTACTGTAATTACATTGTGGTCAGCTATGTTCACAATAAAAAAAAGATGTAAGTTTTTAATAAAGTTGCATTTTATTGTTCTTCCAATAAAATGACTGCTATGGCCTTTACATTCCAAGCAATAAGATTGTGTTGTCTGTTATTGGGGGGGGGGGACACAAGTAATGGGGTGGTTATAAGGGTACGGCAGAAGCCAATAGGTATCTGCAATACCTCAGTCATGTGTAAAAGGCTCTAGCTACCACCGACCTACGACACACATATGACATTTGGTGGCAGTAAAACAGTTAAGATAAAAACTGGAGATCTCTGCAAAGCAGAGTTAAAAAAGACAAAAAGTCAGCTACACCTTACAACATTCAACTCACCATAAGTACCAATGGTCTCCTAATCCATATTTTGTGCCACAAACGCCTGATCGAGGCCAGAGGAATCGTGGGAGCTTTCGCTCTAACATCACTGTGGTTGCAGCAACCTGATAAAAAGAGAGGCGAGAAACAGGTACGTCTTTATTATGATGGAGAATTAACTTGTTGTACAATAAAGTTCAATTAGATTTTCAAAAATATATATCCAAAGATCCTTAGGCATTAACCCTTCGAGTACCTGAACTCTCCACAGCTCATCCCTCTCCTGTGCCACCCTCCATTGAGTGTCTCCCACCATGGCGATCAGCAGGTTCAGCATCAGGAGGTTGGTGAGGATGGCGAAGGAAAAATATACAATGTGGAAAATGTAAGGAAGGGTCACAGCATAGTTGGGGGGGGAGTTGATGATGTTGAGGAAAAACTCAAAGGTGCTTAAAATAGACATAACGTAGGTATAGAAAGATCCAAAGTGGTTGTGATCTTCTGTCTGGATGATGATGTAAAACGCTGGCAGAAAGAAAACACACAAACAGAAAGAGATCGATGAACATGATGTTACATTTAACCTCCCTAGCGGTCTGATTATGTCCATATTTCTGTGCTCAAAGCGGTACATTTTTTTGCATGGAAATATGTTTTTTTTTATTGTAGGCCTGTAATTTTTAGGAATAATGCACTGAAATCTGTCCGAACAAGAGTCTAGTAAACATCCCAGGAATGTTAAAATTTGAAACACGAAATCATAAATTATAATTTATTAAATAATCAAAAAAATAATAATAATAAATTTAATTCAATAATATAATCAAACCAAAAACACTGAAATTTGAAAGAGCGCCAATCACTGAGCTCAGTCGCAAAATCATTTTCAGTGTCTGATGAGGAATTTCCCCCACGAATCATTATCACTCAATTCTGCAAGTGGTTCTGATTTACTATCGCTGTTCTCTAGCCGGTCTAAAACCGCTTTTGACCTAAAGGGACGCTTTTTGGACGCCATGGACGTTTCTCAGTTTCCAGGCAGAAAGAACAGTAAAAATGCAGGCAGGGCGCCGGACAAAGCACTCGGGACAAAATGTATGTGAAATGGTTTGATACAGGAATGTTATACTATGTGATTTTAGTGAATTTAGTGAATGGCACTTTTTGTCATTTTCAAATTTCCCGCCGTTCTGTCCCCCGTACGTCCCGACGTCGCAGGGAACGGAACCCAGAAGACAGATGCCGGCATCCGCCGGAGGACATTACAGGGGACACTGCAGGAGGGACATCGCGGGAGCGCAGGACAAGGTAAGAGAAGAACAGATCCTGGGGCAGCGCCGCAGTGTATTCCCGAGTGTAGCTCGGGGTTACCACTTTTGGAACTGAAACTTTACCCCGAGCTACACTCGGGAATACCGCCAGGGGGGTTAATATAGAGAAAGAAGCTTCACTTTTACTAAAACTGTTTTACGATACAGTTAGATAAAAAAAATAGGACGGGAGCTGGAGAGACATATAATCTCACCTGTCCTTGTATATTGGTTTTATAGGTGCCACACCCCTATTTAATCAGAACGATATAAAAATCCTAACAGAGAAAAAACTAATGCAGCTTTTAAAGCACCATACCATATGAAAGTATAAAGATGCACAACATGAAAACACTAGATAAAATAGAACATGTTTTATTGTAATTTTATAAAAAAAAAAAAAAACGTGGTAAGAGAGACCAATTGGTCAGTCAAAATAGACACATGCATAATGAAGCAAAAAAACATAATATAAATCTATAAGTAACAGAAGGGGGGGAGCGGGCAAGAGTCTAAGAGCCCCAACAATACCAACAGATACATAGATCGTCAATAGGCAAATTTATTGCCATAAAGTTGAATTATTAATCCAGAACAGGGAAACGTAGGCTTCAGATATAGTAAATAATATAATTTATTAAGACTAACAATACAAACGCAGTGCAAAACTAAACATAACACAGTGCAAACAAACTGAACCAAACCTCCAACAGATAACAAACATACGATACAAGAGTAGTCAGGCAGGCCGGGTCGGTAGCAAACGGGAAAAAACGGAGTACCAGGAGCAGGCGGGAGAGTGGTCAGGACTAGCCGAGGTCAGTACAGGCAGAGTTCAGGGAGCGTCAGAACAGCAGAAACAGGATCAGGAAACCAGGGCCAAACAAACAGTACAACAAGGCACAGACTGCAGGTCTGGCCATCCCTTAAATACACCACCTGCAATCAGCCCCAGGTGATGGCTAATTGCCGAAGTGAGCCTCTGGTTGTTGAGAGCACCCGCTGGCCAGCCCTGGTACTGCAGCCCACAAGGCAGGTGAGTCCCACCACTATTGGCAAGTCCATTCCTGACAGTAACACCTGATGTAGATAAAGATCAATATTGGTAGAAAATACAAAAAAACCCTTATTCAGCGGACATTGGGGGGGGGGGGGGGGGGGTAGAAAAAACCATCAGTCCAGGAGTACCTCTGGTCCTATTAGGGAACCATTAGTCCAAGAGTTCCTCTGGTCCTATTAGGGAACCATTAGTCCAAGAGTTCCTCTGGTCCTATTAGGGAACCATTAGTCCAAGAGTACCTCTGGTCAGATAAACAGCAGAAAGCCAAAGCAATGTTCATTCCAATTGTGTAAGGCTGCAGTAACCAATCATCAAATTAATTTGATGATATTTGTATTGTGGGAACAGGGGTTGTAGCAGTCTCAGCCGAGCCCTGGATCCTGTAGGACTAGATGGGTTTCTTTGCAACTTTCAACTTGAACTTCCCTTGAATTTGTAACAGTGCAAACTTGTATTCAAGGGTTTATGTATCTGTTCAATGTATGTAGCTCAGACCCCAAGCCGGTCTCGCTGTTTCTCCCAGGTTCTATTCCCTATTGAATGCACAGCAGCCAGGCACACGGCAGTTTTCAGTCTCTCCACACAAGGACCAGACAGAAAGTGTCTCTTTTTTTATTTATTTGTTTGGGGCACTTGGATAGGGTATAGGGTGAGCCTTGGGATAACTTAGAACTAGTGTAAACTTTAACTGAGGACCATATCTAGTAGTAATTATCCTCTTTAAGGTAGGCCTCTAATGCAAGAGAATGTGGACATACAGGCAGGGGCAGACTGACAACTCAAGGGGCTCCCAGGTGATAGGGGATCATGGGGCCCCTGTGTCCTCACCCATACTCAAACCACACATAAAAAAGCCCATGAAAGGTACCACTGGCATCTCATGGGGCCCCCTACTTCCCCCGGGCCAAATGGTCAGTCCACCCCTGCATACAGGGGGATCCCATACTGTAAACAGGTCTGAGCCAGCAAAATTAGAACAGTTTCTCAAAAAGGGGGTCAAATAGCAACAGTCTCTCCAGCATCTCTCTCTTAGGCCTCTACTTACTGTGTCCCTGTATACATGAATGCCTCCTTCCAGTCCAAGCCAGACCCTGTACTGTGAGCCTTCAGGCCAGATCCTCAGCAAAACTTTCTCCAGACTATTCTCAACAACTTCAGAAATAGGTCCCCCAATTCTCCCTGATCTAGGACCTTGATGATCCAACTGCAGTCTTCACCTAGGAAACCCAGGAGGGCAGAATCAGCTGGTTCAGCAAGGACTGTCTGAATTTCAACCCATATATGGGCAGGCAGGTTGTACAGACGTCAATGCCAACTTCTGTACAACCAGCCTGTTGGATTTTTCCGGCTCGATCAATGTATTATGATCACTACACTGTCAGAATACAATAGCTCAGCTGGGAGGATTCCCCCATTCACCTATAAAAAAAAAAAAGACTAATCTATGGGCGTCTTAAGGCATGTGTAATGTGTCAGTTGTCATCACTCAATATGGTAGTAAATAAGTCACAATACGTAAAAAAAAAGAGAAAAAAGCTCTAGAATAGTGGTCTTGTGGGGCCAGATGTGGCCTTTTGCTTGCTTTTGTCTGGCCCTTGGAGAATTATTTCATCCACTGACACCAACAATGGGGCATAAATCTCCCCAATGACACCAATGAAGGGCACAATTCCTCCAAATGACACTAATGGTGGGGCACAATTCCTTACAATGACACCAACAATGGGGCCCAATAATACCAAGGATGGGGCACCATTCATCCCAATGACACAAACAATGGGGCACCATTCCTCTCACTGACACTCTTTACTCCCACTAATGCCGGGACATTTGTGACTCCCTATGTCCACAGTCTGGCCTGCCTAAAGTCTAAACTGGCCCTTTGTAAAGAAAGTTTGAAGACCCCTTCTTTAGAAACGTCTTCTAGAGGCAGGGGAAGCCCCAAAACTAAAGTTACCCAACAACCTAACAGAGAGGGTGTCCCATTAAGATTAGGGTCTACATTCACGTGATCCTTGAGCAGATAAGAGACTACTGAAATTCCCTATCAGTGATAGAATACAAGGGCAAAGGTAAAAGAGAAATGTATACTAAAATATATATGGTAATTAATGAAGAAACATTAATGACGTAAACAAGAACTTAAACAAGTCCCTAAGAGAGTTGCAGTGGAACAGAAGAGCATTTATAAGTCTTTCGTGTCAAAAACTCCATTACTTACCTGCTAGGAAATGTTTGAAATCTTTATATTGATTGCAATGCATGAGCAGTACAATGTGCAGTCCCAGCATCTTCCAGAAGTAGGGAATGGAGCCAAGGGCCGAGATTATGTAACTCCAATGTACATGTGCTTGATTTACACCATCAGTGCCTGCCCAATGGGTCAGGTAAGGAGATGGTGGACCCAGGGGCGGACTTACCGTTCGAGTACTTGGGCACTCCCCAAGGGCCCTGGGTCAGTAGGGGGCCCCATGAAATGCCCCTGGTACCTTTTTAATAGTCTTTTTTGGGTGTGCTTGAGTGTGGGCAAGGACACAGGGGCCCCATGATCCCCTATTGCCCGGGGGCCCCATGAGTTGTCAGTCCGCCCCTGGGTGGACCCTGAGGAACAAGAAGATAACATAGCATCAGCAGGGAAGAAGTGAATGCGGAAGGATGATTGCACATCATGGCAAAAGCTGGCTGCCCCTTTTCGATTGAATCTGCTTCAATCTGATCTAGTTGCAATCCCCTACATCAGCGGTCGCTAAATGGCGGATCGCATTCCACAAGCGTCCCCAGCAGTGCTGCCGCCCGGACCACCAGCCCACCAGCCTGCAATGACAGATCTGCTGCTGAGCACGGCGGTCGTCACGGCAACATGCCATCCCGTGCGCACCCCGCCCCTTTCAGCTCACTGTCTCTCCGGCTTGTACACGAGCATCCAGCAAAGATCCTGGCACAGCTCCTGTCTGCCCTCAAGGTAGGGTGTAGTCTTACAGGGGCATTCTGATGGGCATATTGAATGTTAAGGGGCACTCTGATGGGCACAACATAGAATGTGCCTATCAGAGTGCCCCTTGACATAACGTGCCCATCAGAGTGCCCCTTGACATAACGTGCCCATCAGAGTGCCCCTTGACATAACGTGCCCATCAGAGTGCCCCTTAACATAAAATGTGCCCATCAGCATGCTCCTTATTTTATGTAAAGGGACACTCTAATGGGCACATTTTATGTTAAGGGGGCACAATGGGCCCATACTATGGAAAGGGGCACTCTGATGGGGAATATGATGTAAATGGGCACGCTAATGGGGAAAAATGATAGAAAGGGATACTTTGAATGTAAGGGGGCACTGTGATGGGGATACCTGATGTAAAGGGGCACTCTGATGGGCACATTTTATGTTAAGGGGCACTCTGATAGGGAATATGATATAAATGGGCACTCTAATGGGGAAATATGATAGAAAGGGGTACTTTGAGTGTAAGGGGGCAATGTGATGGGGATACCTGATGTAAAAGAGTACTCTGATGGGAATATGATGTAAATGGGCACTCTGATGGGGAAATATGATAGAAAGGGGTACTTTGAATGTAAGGGGGAACTCTGACGGGAATACCTGATGTAAGATGGCACTGTGATTTAAAGGGGCACTCTGATGGGCACACTTTATGTTAAGGGGGCACAACTGGGCACATGTGATGGTAAGGGGCACTCTGATGGGGAATATGATGTAAAGGGGCACTCAAATGGGGAAATATGATAGAAAGGGGTACTTTGAGTGTTAGGTGGCAATGTGATGGGGATACCTGATGTAAAGGAGCATTCTGATGGGGAATATGATATAAATGGGCACTCTAATGGGGAAATATGATAGAAAGGGGTACTTTGAATGTAAGGGGGCACTCTGACGGGAATACCTAATGTAAGGTGGCACTATGATGGGGATACCTGACGTAAAGGGGCACTCTGATGGCCACATTTTATGTTAAGGGAAACTCTGATGGGGAATATGATGGAAAATGGGCACTCTAATGGGAAAATATGATAGAAAGGTGTACTTTGAGTGTAAGGTGGCAATGTGATGGGGATACCTGACGTAAAGGAGCACTCTGATGGGGAATATGATATAAATGGGCACTCTAATGGGGAAATATGATAGAAAGGGGTACTTTGAGTGTAAGGTGGCAATGTGATGGGGATACCTGATGTAAAGGAGCACTCTGATGGGCACACCTGATGTGATTACATGATGTAAAGTCGCACTCTGATGGCAAAACCTAATGTAAGGGGGCACACTGATGGAAACACCCTATTCGAATATCGGGCAGGAGAACATTTTAGTGACCGGACCTCCTTGAATTTTAATTCCATACCCCTGCCCTACATGATCTGCACATACAGCTCCATAGATGATCAGCAGGACTGTAATTCTGTGCTGTGTAGCTACTTCATGTATCATCAATTGCTTTCAAACTTCCAGGACAAGTTTGACTTTGAGAAATGTCTTGCCACATAAAGCTTTTTAAATGCAGCTTTTTGTGCAGCAGAAAGGAGAATGTTCCATCAGCAGCAGCAACGGTGTCCAGGATCGCCTGCTGATAGACAAAGGGGACTGGGGAAGATTGGAGCAGTATAGCCATGTACTGATTATAATTGAACTTTTCTGAACAAATTTCTGGAAAAAATCAAAGGGCAAGCCAACCCAAAACTAACATTTTAGGATTTAGTGGATGCTGGAAAGTTCAACCACATATCTCTTCAGTTTCTTGGGGACTTAATTGTGAGATATCTGAATTGAGTTCCCAGGTTTGTATACCTGCTGTGCCCATTATTAGGGTCTCACACCATCTCCGTTGGATTGTTTTTATTTATTTCATTTTATGGCGAATGTAACAAGAGGAAATGGGACAAGCAAAAGTGGGCAAGGACACCCAAAACCCAGGTGGACAGTAGCTGAGTCAGGATTATAGCAGGGAGATCTGACTGTTGACATATTCAAGACATATAAGCACTATTAAGGGCTGACTCACCAGACTCTACCCAAAGGTGGAATAAAATAATTGCGTTAACTGATCATTTAGGCTTTAAGGTGGAATTAAACCCAATTTTGTTTCTTTTACCTACAGGTAAGCCTTTAATAAGGCTTACCTGTAGGTACTGTAAATATCTCCTAAACATGCACTGTTCAGGAGATATTACTGTAGAAGGGCCGGTGTTGTCACCGGCGCATGCGCACTGCGCTCTCAACAGATGGTGTGTTGTCCATTGAGAGAGATGTGCCACGGCCGACACTCCCAAGCTCATTCTCGGGAGTGCCAACATCGCAGCTCGGCCAATCAGATGGCCGCAACTTGCAAACCTGGAAGGAAGACTGGGTAATGAAGGAAGCCTCGGGCAGCCGAGACAGCGCTCTCCTGGAGAGCTTCGTTTTCAGGTAAGTCTTTCATAATTTTTCTAGGGTGTGATACATACTAGCACATTATGTTCTTAACTTGCAGAGAGAAGATTTACATTTTTTAGGCTCACAACCGCTTTAATATCTACTCTATAAGTCTAATTCATCTTCAGAACTCTTTACTTACCAGTTGTATATCCAAAAATGACCACAACCATCAGCCAGCAAAACCGTACCAAGTCTCCAAAAATCATCTGCAAAAACCGAGATAGTAGGATTTTTCTCATAAACCCAACATATTGGATACATATCAGATTTCCTATAAATACCAAGATCACATATACTTCTCATGCCCTGCTTGTATGGCTTTGGCCTCTCTCTTTACCTCTCTGGTACAGTTCCTTCAATTCCACCTTACGAAAGCAAGCCTACCCATATGGAAAAAAAATATATTTGAAATATATTTTAAAAATATTCTTCCCAAATATATTGACATATATTTGAAATACTACAATTTTGGCCATATTCAATATATTTCAAAATATATTTCAATTATATATATATATATATATATACACTGCATGTTGAAATGCATTTTTTAAATATTACAAAAATATATGAAAAATATTTTTAAAAATATATTTTTCTTAAATATATTCTTCAGATTTTTTTAACATATAAAACATATACATAAAAAAGTCATTTTAACATATATTTTTACATATAATTGTAAATGCATTCCAAAAATGTAGATTTTGTATTTTTAAAGACATACAGTATATTTGAAAATGTATGTAAAAATATGTTTCAGATATTTTGTAATAAAAACGCATTTCAACACGCAATAAATATTATATATATAATATATATATATATATATATATATATATATATAGATATATATATATATATATATATATTTATTTATATTTTGAAATATATTGAATACGGCCAAAATTGTAGTATTTCAAATATATGTCAATATATATTTGGGAAGAATATTTTTAAAATATGTTTAAAATATATTTTTATTCCATGTGGATATCATTCAGCTACGACACCCTGAGGTCTAGGTCTAATAATTGCTGCCGTGTCAATGACCTAATCTCAAGTAGATATTACATGTCCCATGTTTCCCAACTCTTGATTGTTCATAATAGTGAGACTTCTACAGCAAGAATAATGTAATCCTCATTGTAAGGACCTCTGTTGATAAGCTATTGTTTGTATCAGATGTGTTTTGCATTTTCATGGAAGTCAATGAGAATGGAAAACACGCAGGTCAAAGGGAGGTCAACTGTAGGTCAAATACACCTGTTTTTTAGATCTCAGAAGTATCTCAAACTGATACCACCAACCAAAGCCTATTGGCACAGATCCTAAATCTGCTATTTATTACTGCAAGGGTGAAGAGTAGATATACAGCACGCCCAACAGTGCCAACTGCCTTGCTGCAGTTTTCCTTGGTTTGAATGCCAGCCAGGACACTATCTGCATGGAGTTAACATGTTCTCCTTGTGCATGTATGGGTTACCTCCGGGTACTCTGGTTTCCTCCCGCACTCGAAAAACATGCTAATAAGCAGGGGCGGACTGACAACTCATAGGGCCCCGGGCAATAGAGGATCATGGGGCCCCTGTGTCCTTGCCCAAACTCAAAAAAGCCTATGAAAATGGTACCAGGGGCATCTCATGGGGCCCCCTACTGACCCCGGGCCCTCTGGCAGTGCCCGAGTTTTCAAATGGTCAGTCCGCCCCTGCTAATAAGTTATTAGGCTCCTGTCTAGATTGGCCTTAGTATGTGTGTGTATGAATGGGAAATGCAGACCTTGGGTTGTAAGTTCCTCAATAGAAAACAAATAAAATAAACTTGCTCATCAGGGCCCCTACAGAAAAGGGAACAATTTGCTTTGACAAGAACTTTCCCAACGTCTTATCAATTCACGATACAACACAGCATCTCTACATCAAACCACGCACATTGCTTGGTCCTATCAGGTTGTGCATGTCCATCCCATTCTCAAGTCAACTTACTTTATGGATCATGATGGTGAACGGTCCCAGCATTTGGAATCCACGTGCAAAATACATGACGTAGCACCAGCCCAGCACAAGTAATATGGACATCGGCACCACCTCTCCACCCGTGTCAGTCACTCGGAGAACGAGGGTCGCAAAAACAAAACAAGGGAAGGTGATTCTGTTGGCAGATAATATTTTAGTTGCTTTGCTCATATTCACAAAAGAAATATCCAAACCAAGAAATAAACATAAAAAATGCACCTTTAGGCTATTTAAAGTAGTGTTGGAAAGGCTAAGCACAGCAAAACAGCCCAATGGGGTTAAAACAGGCAGTGAGGTGGTGATAAATATATACACTCACTGGCCACTTTATTAAGTCTACCTTACTAGCATCAGGTTGGACCACCTTCTGCCTTCAGAACTGCCTTCATTCTTCATGGCATAGATTCCACAAGGTGTTGGAAACATCCTCAGAGATCTTGGTCCACATTGATATGATAGCATCCCGCAGTTGCTGCAGATTTGTCGGCTGCACATCCATGATGCAAATCTCCCGTTCCACCACATCCCAAAGGTGCTCTATTGGATGGAGATCTAGTGACTGTGGAGGCCATTGGAGTACAGTGACCTCATTGTCATGTTCAAGAAACCAGCGTGAGATGATTTGAGCTTTGTGACATGGTGCATTATCCTGCTGGAAGGAGCCATCAGAAGATGGGACACTGTAGTCATAAAGGGATGGATATGGTCAGCAACAAAACTCAGGTAGGCCTGTGACATTTAAACGATGCTCATTTGGTACTAAGGGGCCCAAAGTGTGCCAAGAAAATATCCCCCACACCATTACACCACTACCATCAGCCTGAGCTGTTGATGGATCCATGCTTTCATGTTGTTTACGTCACATTTCTCACCCTACCATCTGAATGTCGCAGCTCAAATCGAGACTCATCAGACCAGGCAACGTTTTTCCAATCTTCTATTGTCGAATTTTGGTGAGCCTGTGCAAATTGTAGCCTCCGTTTCCTGTTCTTAGCTGACAAGAGTGGCACTCTGTGTGGTCTTCTGCTGCTGTAGCTGATCTACTTCAAGGTTCGACGTGTTGTGCATTCAGAAATGGTATTCTGCATACCTTGGATGTAACAAGTGGTTGAGTTACTGTTGCCTTTCTATTATCTTGAACCAGTCTTCCCATTCTCCTCTGACATCAACAAGGCATTTTCCTTCTCACAACTGCCGCTCACTGGATATTTTCTCTTTTTCGGATCATTCTCTGTAAATCCTAGAGCTGGTTGTGCATGAAAATCCCAGTAGATCCAGTTTTTGAAATACTCAGACCAGCCCGTCTGGCACCAACACCTATGCCACGTTCAAAGTCCCTTAAATCCCCTTTCTTCCCTATTCTGATGCTCGGTTTGAATGTCAGCAAGCCGTCATCCGCACATCTAGATGCCTAAATGCATTGAGTTGCTGTCAAGTGATTGGCTGATTAGCAATTTGTGTTACCAAGCAATTGAACAGGTGTACCTAATAAAGTGGCCGGCGAGTGTATATATAAATTCTGTGACTATGTGACAATGTTTATTGTTTTGTTGAGATAATGATGGCACCAACAGTGTCTCCTGGATGCAGAAACATGCATATTCAGTCTAATGCAGCCTCTCTAAACATTTTTATCCCAGAGAAACCCTTGGAATAATTCTCAGGTCTTCGGGAACACTTACTAAATCCAGTTTGTTGGGGGTCAAGTGGGAAAATCCTTACACTGGTGGTCAGGAGGTAGAATGAAGCCCTTACAGTGGTGGTCAGTATGCCACACTTAAAGCCAGCTAAGAAGATCATTGGTGTCATGCTGCTGGCTCTGCCAACTGGTGTTGGCCCCAGAACCATCCAGGAATCATCAGATGGGAAGTCAATCAGCTACAACTCAAGGAACTCCTAGCAACCTCTGGAGGACCCTGGTTGAGAATGACTGCCCTGGTTGAGTATGACTGGTCTAACCAACCATACATGTTTATAGAGAGACCTTCAGCAGGCAGATCTTCTGATCGTCATTTCACATTTCAGGCGCGGACTGACCATTTGGAAACTCGGGCACTGCCCGAGGGCCCAGGGTCAGTAGGGGGCCCCATGAGATGCCCCTGGTACCTTTTTCATAGGCTTTTTTGAGTTTGGGCAAAGACACAGGGGCCCCATGATCCCCTATTGCCCGGGGGCCCCATGAGTTGTCAGTCCGCCTCTGTTCACATCTTTGGCTAACTTACATAAAATTCTTCCCTGTGGTTCTTACATGATAAGTGTGAAGGGTCCTCCTTGAACAGCTTGTATGAAGTACCTTGGATCTCTTATCTGAAACAGGTCCGGAATCTAGAGAGTTTAGAGAAATGCTGAAAATGAGTAGAATATATTGGAGATTAGATCAACACGACTGCACCGTTTTCTACAGAATAAACTCCCTTTTAAATTCATATTTCACCCAATGGCACAAGGTGTACTACAGGCAGTTTGCAGTGCTGTGATCTGTGCACCCACTGCTTCTTGTCAGCAGCTGGAAAGTGTTCCCTAGTAGCTATTGTTTAATGGACCACCTTGGGGGCTTAATAAAGTGTATCTAAAACCCAAGAATAAAAATGTAGCATATTATAGCTTACCAGTCCTTAAATGGGGTGGCAGCATTAGTTTTATTTTCAGGCTTTTTTTCCTTGATTTTTAACTGGGGATTCGTCACTATATTACAATTCCTGTCCTAGGCTGGCTATGCTTACTCAATGTACTGTATCTGAGGAAGAGAGGTGTTGCATTCTAGACCTGAATGCAAGTGAATAATCCATACCAGGGGCGGACTGACCATTCAAGCACTCGGGCTCTGCCCGAGGGCCCGGGGTCAGTAGGGCCCCTTTGAAATGCCCCTGGTACCTTTTTTATAGGCTTTTTTGGGTGTGCTTTGAGTGTGGGCAAGGACACAGGGGCCCCATGATCCCCTATTGCCGGGGGTCCCATGAGTTGTCAGTCCGCCCCTGATCCATACACACACGTTCCTGTGTTAAAAATGGCAAAAGTGTGTATAAGCGGGTGCTGCAGCGACCGTCGGCTGGAACCGAACAGAATCAGCAAGGGAGAATGTCACCAGCACACCGAGGATCACCAATATGGGTTCAAAAGTTTAAATGAACAATCACATAGTTACAGCAAGGCAATGTTTCGGAGTCTCGCAGGACCCCTTCATCAGGCACATGACATCACATACCTGATGAAGGGGTCCTGCGAGACTCCGAAACGTTGCCTTGCTGCAACTATGTGATTGTTCATTAAAACTTTTGGACACATATTGGTGATCCTCGGTGTGCTGGTGACATTCTACCTTGCATTCTAGGCCTTGACTACAGAACACCTTCCCCTCTTTGTTTCTCTACAACATTGTTGGGATAGGGGGTTGTTGGTAACAAATTAAATGGTAACAGTGCAGCCAGGACAGAGAGCACAGGAACGTATCAGCTCACAAGATTTCTGGAACGATCATTTTTTGCACCTAGTGAACAGATATAGCAAAACGCTTTCAATGTTTTATTTACAAGAAAAAAAAAGGAGCAAAGGACAGAAGATCATTATTAGGCTTCACTTACATGTGCAACTAAGGGGCGGTAACACAAGGTGGTTGAGCATGGTTTTACTGCTCCCCACCCCTCCAACTGCCTGCCTAGACCAGGGCATGCAGCCATTTAGGGCTGTACACATGCTGTACAACATCACAGCAAAAAATAAACAGTATGTCACCTTTGGCGGGCATTACCATCGCTGAACGCGGCCAATGCAAGTCTATGGGGCTTGCAATCGTTGGTAAACTCATGCAGACTCCACCTCCGCAACATCTCCAAAATATGTTCGTTCCTAACCCCAGACACTACTAAACAACTCGTCCACTCCCTTATTATCTCCCGTCTGGACTACTGCAACTCCCTCCTCACTGGCCTACCTCATCACAGACTATCCCCTTCAGTCTATCCTGAACTCAGCGGCCAGACTCATCCACCTTACCAACCGCTCCTCTTCTGCCACCCCCTCTGCCAATCCTTCCACTGGCTCCACCCCCCCTCTGTGCCAATCCCTCCACTGGCTCCACCCCCCTCTATCATTCCCTCCACTGGCTCCCGATTGCCCAACGCATCAAATTCAAACTACTAACACTGACATACAAAGCCATTCACACTGCTGCCCCGAACTACCTCACTGACCTGATACCCAAATACCACCCAACCCGTACTCTTCGCTCCTCACAAGACCTCCTCCTCTCTAGCTCCCTGGTCTCCACCTCCCACGCCCGACTGCAGGACTTCTCCAGGACTTCCCCTATCCTCTGGAACTCACTACCCCAATCCATCAGACGGTCACCTACCCTTCTCACCTTTAGGCGCACCCTGAAAATCCATCTCTTCAGGGAATCCTACCCCACCCTCACCTAACAGCCGATCTCCTCCACTCCTCCTACCACTCCATCCCCCACAGCCACTTCCTCCTGTGCCACCATCCCCTCCCTCCTAGATTGTAAGCTTGAAAGAGCAGGGCCCTCAAACACCTCGTGTATTGTTTTGTTACTGTACTGTCTCATGTTCTGTCCCCCACTACTCTGTACAGCGCTGAGCAAACTTTTTGGCGCTATATAAATACTGTATAATAAGAATATGAGGCAGAGCCACAGCCTTGTACAATGTGCACGATTGCAGCGTGGCGTTGTGACATTTTCAGGGTTAAATCTGGTGATGAAGAGATGAAATATGACCTTCTTGCGCCTGTAAAATGCCCTCTGAAAAAGCGGTCCACCATGGATCGCTTTTCAGATTGGTGGCAAGGACTACCACACGTGTTTGAGCACTAAGGGTTTTACATACAATTTAAGGATTCACACACTAAAACAATAAAGAGCTGTTCTAAGTTTTAGAATTACTCATCATCAGCACAGCTGGAAAGGCTTGGTGAGTCTGATCTCAGACTTTTCCCCTTCCTATAGAGCAATAATCTCTAAACTGTGGCCCGGGGGCGGATATGGCCCTTTGCTTGCCTTTATCTGGCCCTTGGTGCACTATTCCACAACCGATACCAATGATGAGACACAA